CCTCTGCTGATTGAACTTGATGATCCTGGAGGTCTTCTCCAGCCTTAAAAGTCCATGAGTCTATGATTAATCCTCTGGTTCTGAGGGGATAGAGGCAGTGCAGCTTCCTGGCTCTGGTGGTGCATCATCTCATCCCACCAGTCCTTGACACCCCATGCAGAGGGAGCAGAAGACATCTCCATCTCCACTTATTTTCTCCTGTAAATCCTTTGTTTTCAGGATGTGGGATACATGGACATTGAGCACAAGGTCTTACTGTGTCTGCCCAAACCAGGCTGACAGCAGCTCCAAAAAATTCACTTCTCTGAAGATAAACTCAGGCACTGGAGCATTTATTTTACTGCAGCTTTTATACACCTGAAGTGACTCTTTGGGGAAGATTCCACTCCAAGGACTGAAATCAGACCTAGATCTGCTCTCCCAATGCTCTGACCTCAGTTTCTGGCTGCTTTACATGTGTTTTGCCCTGCCAGACACTTCTTGGTGCTGGATCCAGCACCCAGGTCTGAGCCTGGGAGTGCCACCACAGCTGTACCCACAGAGCTCTCAGCCCTTAGGCAACAAGCTGTACCCACAGAGCTCTCAGCCCTTGGGCAATGTGAGCTTCACCTTGGGAACAGCACTGGGAAAAGGATCACTCAAGGGACTCTGTTTGCATCTGGCTTGCTGTAAACAGTTTCATAGAGTTGTGAGCATGGCCAAATATACAGGAGGTGTTGTGCTCCATAGCTATGCCTTAATAACCAGGGAAGGGCTTTGCAGGAGGCATGGCAGGAAAATAATGACTGCAAACATCCCTGGATAGGAGGATGGCAGGAAAATAGTGACTGCAAACATCTCTGGATAGAAGAATAGCAGGAAAATAATGACTGCAAACATCCCTGGATGTTTGTACAGGTTATATGGGGGAAAATCAGCCAGGTAAAACAGTTGTGAGTCAATATTGCCTTAGACTAATTAAACTTGGAGCTCTTGGCTCGCTCCTGGTCTCTGTTCCTTGGTGGTGGTTGTAGCTGTGATAATGTTTGGCTTGTTCCAGCAGTGTAAGTGACAGCAGGGCTGGGGTGGCAGGAAAACTGGGCTTTGGATGAAGTGTATCCCTGGGAATTTGGCAGCCGAGAGGTCTAACTGCATCCCTCACTGGGGCCTGGGCTTGTTGGATAGGTCAGGGTTTGGTTTCATTTTTTAAGGGGGGATAAAAGCAGCTAGTCAAATGGAGTATTGATAGTAGAATTGTGGCTGGGAAGGAACTGGGCAGGGCCAGGGGAACCACAGGAGAGGCTGAGGCCTCTGGAATCAGGAGCATCCCCAAAGGTGTATGGGGGTACAAGCTCAATCCCTGGTCTGAAGGAGGTGCTCCAGGATTCCTGAGGAATGTTGGAACCCAAGTGCTCTGCTCAGTGCCTGTGGCTCTTGGATGCAGTTTGGAGATGGGCATGGAGGAGGAAAAGTGGTTTTCCTTGGGATTCAAGCATTGGTTTTCCTTGTAATTCAGACCTGCAAGTGGAGTGGAGCAGGAGCAGCTCAGCTGCTCAGGAGTCAGTGGTTCAGTAGTGTTTCAGGTGGTGGTGAGACTGCTCTGTCTTCAGCTGTGGTTTTGGGGTTTTGGCTGAGTAACTCTTACCTGATGCTGTGAGTTGGTGTGGACACCTCGTTGTGGGTGTCACCCTGCCCTGTGCTCACAGCTGGAGCCAGGAGGGATGTTTGTGCTGTTGTGGAATACTTGGTGATCTTCCTCCCGAGTTTACCTACAGCTAAATTATTAGTTGCTGTTTCAATTCCCTTTCTAATAAAAGAAGAGCAAACATCTCATTTCCCTAGGCTGGCTCCAGCTCCAAAGTGGGCAGCTTCATCTGCTGGGATTGTTCTGGCTACAGTCAGAGAATTTGCATCAAAATGCTGGAATGCAGCACATTCAGAGCTGTTCAGATCTTCTCTGTGGAGTGAGCCAAGTGTGGCTTCTCCCTCCCCACAGCTCTCAGCAGATCTGGGAGCACATGGCAGATGGCAGCTGAGGTATTTGTGGTCCCAGCAGGCCGTGGAGGGGCTGAGGTCTGGGTGGGAGAGTCCTTTGGGATCTGCAGGCAACAGCTTGGGAGATCCCTCAGGAGTTTTGGGGCTCCCTGGCTTGGAGCTGTTTGCAGATGCCAACTGTGTCTGCTTATGGGCACATGGAAGATTGGTTGAAAAACCTTCTTGGTACCTACAGAAAGTTAGGATCTCTTGATTCTGTTCCCTGCAAGTGTTGATTCTGTTCCCTGGGAATGTTCCAGGCCAGGTTGGATGGGGCTTGGAGCAACATGGGCTGGTGGATGGGGTCCCATGGCAGGGGGTGGGACTGGATGAGTTTTAAGATCTCTTCCAACCCAAACCATTCCATAGTTCCATGATAACCCTTGTTTTCTGTTACAAGGCCAAATGTTTTTCCTTTTAATGAGGAATTTTCCACTAAACTGTGTCTCTTGGAAGGGTTTGTGTGTGTGCCTTGGGCATGCAGGTGGTTTGTGCTGTGCTGGCACCAAGATATGCCTGGTTGGAGTCTGAGTCCTGCCGTGCTGGATGTTCCACAGGCCTTGGACAGCCAGATGGTCACTGCCCTGGGGAAGACCTTGTGGGTTTGAATAGACTCACATTTCAAGCAAATATTTGAATAAACTGCTTAAATTGGGCTATTTCCTGTTTCCATCAGAAGCTGATAAAGCTATAACTGTGTGCATTGACTCTCAAGAGTGTTTTGGGGGGGTTAAAATATGGATATTCCCAGTGATGCCATGAGGGTACATTAATTTCTGTGTGTCTTTTTCTGGTGGTTGGTTGGATGTGTGAGAGAGAAGTGCCATGTCCTGCTGACAGAGGAAGCTCAGCCTGGCTGGGTGAGGGCCATGAGCCATCTGGACAAGAGCTCAGCCAGCTGGGAGAGCCAAGGTTTGGGGAATCCCTGAGGGCACCAAGGTCCTTGCCCAGACCTCCTCCCAGGGGGTGGTCAGAGACACATCCTGGGCTGGTCAGGGGCTCAGAAAGAGGGACTGGCATGTCTTTGGTGGACGTGTGTGATGTCAAGTGGAGAACAAGGAGAAACTCTGGTGTGCACCTGGGCACTGGTTGCTGGGGGACACAAGGTGTTCCCATCCCTCAGCCACCACTGCAGCCAAGGGATATGTGGGGGACAGAGGGATCCTTTCTGCTTGCTGGGACTTGCTCTGTCCCCATTTCTGTTTCACACTGTTCCTGCTGTTGTTGAACTTAAAAGAACACACTGAATGCAGCTTTCCCCTTCCCTGGTGCTCAGCACAGGGCACCAGGACAAGGGAAGAACTGGATGTGAGGATAAGGACATGAAGGAGCACCAGGAGGTGACCTGACCAGGGGCAGCTGCAGGTTTTGGCTACAATGGAGCACTGGGATAGAAGATGGAGGGGTTTTTTTTTGGGTTCCTGGAAGCAGAACCCCCTGGCACTGGGGTGTTCCTGCAGCTGGAGTCGTGCTCTAAGCACAGTGAGGATGTGGGAGCTGCAGGATTTGGATCATGCTGTGCAAAGGGGAATGGCCCAGTGCTCTTAGCCACCTTCAGTCCTGAGGTCCTCATGGTGCTATTCCCTGCTGTGACTTCCTGACTCTCTGGCAGCTCATCCAAGCTGCCCAGGGGAGGGCTCAGAGCTCAGGATCAGGCTGTGTGAGGCACCCAGCACAGAGCAGAGCTGGGAGCTGCCCTGATGGCTCTGACACAGAGGTGCTTTTGGCTTCACAGAGGACCTTTAATCCATACTCATAAAGGATTTCCTTTATTGAGCAGTCAGCTGTGCATAACTGACCTCGATTAAGCCTTGCAGGGGAGTTTCATTCCCCAAATGATGCTGTTAAAGGTCTGTAATACATACAAGGTTTGCTTGGCCAAGTCTTGACCTGCTGTTTTCCCCTCCTGCCTGTGCTTTCAGAGGGAACACCTTGCTCAGCACATCCTTTTTCACCCCCATAGCTCTGCTCTGGTAATCATCTCCCCTGCACTTTCCAGAACCAAGGAGTTTTGGAGCGAGATGTTGTAGAGGTGCTGGAAGAAGAGATCCATGCTGGCAGCTCTGTGTTTAGCAGGAAAAATTGTTGGGAACTGAACATTTCAGGAGCAAAGACTGAGCTGGATGTTTGCTGACTTCAGCAGGCTGAGGGAGAGTGACAGCTGGGGATGAAGTCACCACCTCTGCATCCTGCTTACCTGGCAGTCTGACCTCCCATCTGCTCTCTGCAGGGATCACCCTGCTAATTCACAGGGCTCCTCTTTATCCTTATCCCATGCCCCTGTGGGCACCATGGGAAGGTTCCCCATGGATTCATGAGCTGGATGTTTGCTGACTTCAGCAGGCTGAGGGAGAGTGACAGCTGGGGATGAAGTCACCACCTCTGCATCCTGCTTACCTGGCAGTCTGACCTCCCATCTGCTCTCTGCAGGGATCACCCTGCTAATTCACAGGGCTCCTCTTTATCCTTATCCCATGCCCCTGTGGGCACCATGGGAAGGTTCCCCATGGATTCATCACAGCACAGGGCTCCTCTTTATCCTTATCCCATGCCCCTGTGGGCACCATGGGAAGGTTCCCTATTAGGGATTGATGGCTAGCTGCAGTCATTTGGGAAAGCTGTATCCCAGAGAATTTGTCCAATGGAAGAGCAGGATGATGCTGTGAAAGCATGTGCTGATTTCAGCTGGGATGGAGTTAGTTGTTTACCTTTCTTGGATGAGTTTTAGCTAAATGATGTTTGATTCCTGCAGTTAGTTCTCTGCTCATTGTTTTCCTACTTGGAATTTTCTCAGAAAGGAAACGACCTGTGTGTTTTTATACCTGACTTTTTGGAGTAGGTGATGCTCAGCAGGTAGAGCTGCACTGATCCTCTGAGACCTCCTGTGCCATTAGAAATCAGGGAGCAGAGGAGGTTTCCAGGCAAGTCTCCTTGCTCTAGTCCATGGCTGAAATTCCATGTTTCCCCTAACTGCCTCTGTCCCACAGGTGAAGCAGATCATGGAGGAGGCAGTGACCAGGAAGTTTGTGCATGAGGACAGCAGCCACATCATCTCCTTCTGTGGTGAGTCTCCTTCAAGGGATGCTGGGTTGGACCAGGGGCTGGAGCATCCTCTTGGTGTTGGGCTCTCCCTACTGTGGCATTAGCCATTCCTGGGGACACACTCCAACTCTGGGGCCTTGGGCTGGGCAGGGAGTTAGTGCCAGGGGATGGGATGTCCTGGCAGTAGTCAGAGCCCCCAAGGCCTTTGCTCTGTGCTTAAAATACACTGGGATGTGTGAAGAGAGGGAGGGATGCTGCTGGCAGTGTCTGGAGCTGCTTAGGAAGTACTGGAAATAATACTTTATTTTTAAATTCCCTAGAGAATTGATTCAACAAAAAGTCAGTCTGTCAAGTCCAAATATTTCTTTGCTATTATGGATTAGGAATTTAGGGAAAGGAGTCTGCAGGCTGGCAGAGTGCAGGAGCAGAGAGGCTGGAGGCTGCTGAGGGATGTCAGATGGAGTTTGTGGAGGATCTGCCCTGCCATTGGGCTGGTTTGGAGCTGGTTTCCTGGCAGATGTGCTTCTCACTAAATTTTTCCACCAATTCTTTGGACATTTTGTAAATGTGGGAGTGTTTCAGAATGGATCCATCTAAACCTTGGAAAAGAGGTGTCTAAGAACTTACCCAAAGAGCTTTTGGCTGTGAAACATGCTGGGAGGGCTCTGGGCACTTCCAGGGGTGGAGCAGTCACAGCTTCTCTGGACAACCTGTGCCAGTGCCTCAGCACCTCACAGGGAGGAATTTCTTCCATATAGCTGACCTCAGTTTCCCCTCTGGCAGTGTGAACCCATTCCCCATCATCCTGTCACTCCAGTTCTAGTTGCAGAGTCCCTCTCTGGCTCCCTTGTAGCCCCTCCAGACACTGGAAGATGCTGTGAGGTCTCCACACAACCTTCTCTCCTCCAGGCTGAAGAACCCCAACTCTTCAGCCTGGCTCCATAGGGAGATGCTCCAGTCCCCTTAGCAACTTCATGACCTCGTTTGGACTTGCTCCAAGAGCCTTTCTCCTTCCCTCCTGGACATCAAAGCCCCTCAGATTGTTCCCTGCCTTTGTGTTGCCTTTGTGTGGCATGGAAAGAGCAGAGCAGCCTCCCAGGTGTGACTCAGTGTGTGCTGCTCTGTGCAGCACGAGGCTCACAGCCTGGCATTATTTATAGGCTGCTGTGACAGGGAGCTGAGGCATCCAGGCACGAAGGCTCCTTGGTTCCTTCTGGCTTCTTAACGAAGCTGCTGCCCTTTCCCTGGGTCCTGCTGCCTCCCCTCCTGCTCTGTGCTCTTGCTCTCTCGTTTGAATGGTACATGCACCTT